TTGGGTGGCGTGCGAATAAAAAGCCACCAGGCTCCCCCGGCCAGCATGGCTCAGTGGTTAAGCGTCCACCTCTGAACCAGGAGGTCAGGGTTCGATTCCCGGTCAGGGCACAGGCCCGGGTTGCAGGCTGGATCCCCAGTGTGGGGCGTGCGGGAGGCAGCCGATCCATGATTCTCACCATTGATGTTTCTTTCCCTCCCTTCCTCTCCCTCCCTGTCTGAAACCAATAAAAATATACATTTTTAAAAGCCCCCAGGCTTCTCGCAGGCTGCCCTGAGGGCTGGGGGACCTGGGAGAGGGGCAAAGGCCACGGTCTGAGCAGAGCGCACGGGAAGGCTTGGCGAGCGAGACCTGAAATCCCTGAAACTTTAAAAGGGGAAACGAGGATTGTGGAGGCTTCTAGCCCTTAAACCGTGCAGCACGCGCTCTAAGACTTTCTCAGCTGGAAAACACAGGCCCCTCCAGCCCTTCACTCCCCTGTAATAACGTGTAAGAAGACCCTGGGCCGTGGGAGCCGATGCCTCGTCATACATGAAGCTTTTCCTCATTAACGAGAACCATCCCCATCTCACGGCCGCGTAGGCCTCACCACAAAGCCGGTCACGCCTCCTGACCTTCTCACAAACTCACATACGAGCAAAGACTCAACATCTAAATAGACTTTTATTTTTTCCTTTTACTTATTTGGACAGAAAAGAAAACTCAACTCCCCAGCTTGCATTCGAGACTCCCTAAGTCTGGGGAACACATTCAGCTCAGATACAGTGGACCTTGTAGAAAAAGCATCACAAATTAAAAATAGATTCTCCACGTGGTAAAAGTGCTCTCGCTCCCGTGTACAGGGCGCGGCAAAGGCGTCTGGAAACACGATTGAGAATCCGGCCGCGGTCGTGGCCCTGAGTGGACACCGGGGGCGAGGTGGTCATCGCGAGCCGAGGACACGGGGGCACGGGGGGCACGGAGGTGGGCATGCTGCCAGCACACGTAACGGATGGGTGTGCGCATGGGAACGTCCCGGGCCCAAGAAGAACGGATTCTGCGTTTGTGAACGTGAGGGCTCGTCTGTCGGGTGGTAGGGGAGGGACTCGGGGACGGCAGCCTGTCGGCCGCTCTGGCTGATGTTCTGGGGAACAGTGGGCCCTGGCTGCCCGCTGCTTGTCCTGTCTTCGTGTCCGGCCCGCGGTGAGCAGGCCCCGGCCCCTCGGGAAATGCCAGCCGAGCCAGCACCCACCCCCCATCCCATGTGCGACCTGAGACAGGCAAACACTGGCCCACGCAGGTCAAGACGTAGCCAGTGGCCGTCCGGGGACGGTCCGTCTGTGTGTTTGTCAAGACCAGTCACCCCGCCAATGACACGCGAGAGGCCCGCAGGCCCCCGGGTCCCTGGGAGAGGCAACCCCATCTGTTCCGGAAGCGAGCTCCCTCTCTGGCCCGAGCACGGGCACCGGGCACAGAACCCAGACCTGGGATCGAGCCGGGACCGGGTGAGGCCAGGGGGATGGGAAAGAAGGGAGACATTTTCCCTTTACAGACGACCTTAAGCAACAGTAAGAAAATAACCTGAAGATATATTTAAAAATAAAAAATGGCATCACACTTCGTTCACCGCGCCTGTGGGCGTGCCCCTGCCCTCCCCGTGCCCGGCCACGCGGGCGCAGGAGCAGGGAGGCCGCG